AGGGTCCATCTTAGTGTACCGAGTAGAACTAGCACAGTGGCCCGTACTGAGGACAGGAGCACCCCATTCTGGCTTCCTTTTTCCATCCCTTCTCCAGAAACACATTCCGCCCAAAGCATACATTCAATGGATCACTTGGTAACTGTCATGAGCTATAAACTCAATCGCTTGTTTCTTTGCTTTGTTGTTCTATTCACGCTATTTCTTTCTTTCTTTTTTTAAGAGAAGTTAAGAATGAGCATGCATTTATTCAAAGTAAAGTGCCTGGCTTTTGTTTCAAAGCAGACTGAGAGGCTAATGCAGCTTCAGTTTAAGGGCCCTAATTACAAGGCTCCTTCCGGGGCACTGGGTGAGGTTCTGGCAATTCACTTTCATCATGTTGCAGTCTTTTTCCCAGAGAGGGAGTCTCAAGGAGCAACAGCTTCTGGCTTCACGAAATATGGATCTGTGCCTGATTTTAGTTCTCTTTTAATTTTTAAGTGGAACGAGAAAACACCTAAGCCTTTTTCTTTTGGTCACTCAAAAAAAATTCCAGAGGCCATTTGTCGTTGTTCAGTCACTCAGTCGTGTCTGACTCTTTGCGACCCCATGGACTGCAGCACACCAGTCTTCCCTATCCATCACCATCTTCCGGAGTTTGCTCAAACATATGTCCATTGAGTGGGTGATGCCATCTAGCCAGACCCATGAGAATGTACTGATTCCACATTCTGTGCTTTTTGTAGGTCTCTCTGGCTCTGTACATGAAAGACTCATAATAGTGTTGGAGCAAATTAATAAATAAGTGAATATATGAGTGAAATCTTGTGATGTCACACAACTCCATAACAGGGAAACAAACTCTTTTGTAAAAATGACAAAGCAGCATGGAAATACTCACACCTTTGTGGAGGAAAACAAAGTGACAGTGACAACCCAGTAAAGAAACATTCCAGTCAAGGAGGCAAGTTAAATCGCAAGCATTTTTGATGCCCAGAAATGCAAATGCAGTACACAGAGGAAGTCTTCCCAAAGTAATTTCCTGTCCATGGAGCATAAAAGAGGCTTCTACAAGAACTCTCTTTTTTTAGGAAATGTATGATGCACACAGACTGTCATGATCTCAGCAAGATATAAACACACAAAGAGCAAATCATAAAAATACCCTTAATAACCAGTAATATATACTCTAGTGTGCATCTATTAAAAGACTACCCCCATACATGACACTGGCACCACAAGCAACCAGAAGCTTCCATACACTAAGAAGGTGTGATCATCTTAGCACATCATATGATTAAACATTGTATTTACATAAAATATTATTTCTGTCATTTTCATTTTTTTAAATTCAGGGAACAATTGGTATTTGGAAAATAAATGTACGTCAACTTACGCTTGCAGAATTTCTAGTGTCTCTGAATGTGTCTGATTTGAAAGCCAAATTACCATAAGTGCTAAAAATAATGTCACACTGTACTTTGGCAGAAAATATAAAATACAAGCAAGTTGAGCAAAATGGACAGCAATCTTCTTTTTAACAATTTTAGACATTTACTTTTTAATACTTTTAAAGTGTGTTTCTAAAAGAACAAGACCACAAATGGTAGAGGGCAGGAACTGAATTTCCTTAAAAGACTAAATGGGTATGTCAGTAGCAGTGGCAACTATAATGACAGTCATTTTCCTTTTATTAAGCTGTGGTTTCACACAAGAATTGTATTTTCTTTTGAAAATATCTTAGGTATGATATTTATTCTCCACCTTGATGAATTTCTCCACAAGTTAGCTAATCATTACTAATGTTACAGATTTCAAATAGGTCAAGGTTCAACCTTTGAACTTTGAGATCAGATGATCTAAAGAGAAGAAAATGCAAATTAGTACATACAGGATGGATAAACAACAGGGACCTACTGTATAGCACAGGGAATTATATTCAATATCCTGTAATAAATTAAAACATAATGGGAAAGAATATGAAAAAGGATATGTATGTCTGTATTACTTTGCCATACAGTAGAAATCACACCACATTTTAAATCAACTATACAGTTGAATTCACTTCAGTAAGTGAATTCCCTGGTGGTCCAGTGGTTAACGACTTGGCACTTTCACTGTGGTAGCCCAGGTTCCATTCCTAGTTGAGAAAACAAGATCCCACAAGCTATGCAATGCAGACAAAAAATAAAAACTAAAACTATACTTAAGATAATTTTAAATAGAGAGAGAAGATTAATTAATAAAAAGTCCTACAGGCTTCTTTCCCTTCTATGAGTCATCCTAACCCAACCACCACGGTCATTTACTTCATCAGGAGCTGCTCAGACATCAAGAGCCTGTATTCTTTCACCGTTTTAATCATTCTACTCATTCCCTTATCATTTATTTGATGCCACATTCTGCTGTCACTGCCTTCACGATGCCCACAGAAATGCCAATACCAAGACTTAGCTCTATCCTCAACACTTCTCCCAGAAATATATACCTACCTACCCAGAAGGCCCAGCGGCTCCAAGTTCAAAGTCATGATTGACAGAGAATATTCCCAAATGCCCAATCAGTGAATAATGATGATGACATTTATTGAGTGCTTACTATAAGCCAGGCACCAAAGCGCTTTACATGTATGATGTCATTTAATCCTTAGAAAACTCTACTACAGTTTTCCTTACTTGACAGATGTGTAAACGGAGACAGAGAAAGAATAGGAAACTTATTTGAAATTCACAGGTCACTGGCAGGACAAGGATTTGAATCTGGGCAGTCTGGTCCCCCGGAATCCCTGTTGTCAACCACCAGAGCATTGCCCCTGGCTATAAGAAAATGTCTGTATCAGTGTGGTCCCTGTACTCAAGGTGTCAGTCAGGGGGATGGGAGGAGCATGGTAGAAATGCAGAATGCTCTACTGAAAGCATGAGACTCTGCATTTTAAAGTGATCCCCAAGGGAGTCTGATTCCCACAAAGTATAACAAGCACTTGTTTAAGGAACTCATTAATGACAAAAGATGCAGTACAGACTTTTTGATCACCCTGCAAAATCTCCCACTTTTCTTTTATCTTAAAATGACATGCCAAAGTCCCAAATATAAGTGGCAAAAGTAAAGAAAATCTGGGGTACTCAGCCCAACTTTAACTCACCTGGCACAGGTAATGGTGGCTTAAAAAATATTCACAACCTAAAAGTTGAGAGTTATGTTTTATCCAGTGGGAATTTTCAGGACTCCAAGCCTAGAAGGCAGCCTCTCAAGAACTGCTCCAAGAAGGCGAGGGGAGTAGACACCTTATAAGAAGTTTTGCAGCAAAGGGCAGGCAGTCTGAGTCAACAGATTATTGTGAATTAAAGAAAACCTGGTATCTCAAGGAATTTAGCACTTTTCTATGTCTGGGAACATAGCAACTTTTCTACGTCTGGGCTCACTGAAATCCTTCCTTTGATAGGCACCTCAGCTAGCTGGGGCCAGTATTTTGTTTTCACATCCTGAGTTTCCTCAGGGCTCACCAGCTCTGGAAGGAGGGCTGCAATAGCTGATGACAATGACATCCTTTTTTACTGATATGGCAGGAAATACTCCATTTCTCAGTAAGCTTCTAAGAGAAGAGCTCCACAGCAGCTCTTCACACCAGTGTGAGAATGGAAACCTGTGTGATGGTGGCTGCTGGCCTATATCTTTCTCCTGGCAGAAAAGGTGAGGCACTGGAAACTTCACTAGGCCAAAATGAGAAACAGGCAAAGCTCATCTATTGTCACCCCTGGCAGGAGTGGGGACGGAAAAAGGTACTCTTGGTGGGGTGATGATGATGGCAGTGGCAGCTCTGGATGTTGCTCATATTTCAGTTCCTGAGCTAGTTGCTGGTTACATAAGTATGTTCAGTTGCTGAAAATTTACTAGCTGTAGACTTGGGATTTTTGCAAGCATACTGTATGTTGATAAAAGTTTACATAAAATATGTTAATTTTTTCTATAAAATAGTCTCACTAAATAACAGATAGGCAAAATAATAGTCTTTATAGCAGAGTGGTAGGAATTACATAGTTTAAATGGGAATATTACTACATTTTCAACAAAAAACAAGGTATATTCTCTTTTTAGAAAAACTATATATACTTATTTACTATTGGAAGCAGGAAGACGATTCTAGTTGTTTTGATTTTTTATCATTCTATTTTATACTCACAAAAAATTGCAAAAATAATCCAGAGAGTTCCCATGTACCCTTCACCCTGCTTCTCCAAATGCTAATTCTATCTTCTATAAATATATTGTCAAAACCAGGATACTGACTCAACTCCAGCTTCTTTCTACTAAGAGTTCACCAATAAGAATATTTTGCCTTATCATATGATCCAGCAATCCCCACTTCTGGGTATATATTTAGAGAAAACCATAAATCAAAAAGATACATGAACCCCAATGTTCATAGCAGCACTATTCACAATAGTCAATACATGGAAACAATCTAAATGTCCATCAATAGATGAATGGATAAGGAAGACATGGTACATATCTACAATGGAATATTACTTAGCCATAAAAAAGAATGAAATAAAGCCATTTGCAGGAACACGGGTGAATCTAGAGTTTATCATACTAAGTAAATTGGAGAAACACAAATATCATGATATCACTTATACATGGAATTTTTAAAAATGATACAAATGAACTTATTTACAAAACAGAAACAGACTCAAGAAAGAACACTGAGCACCGGAAGTGCCTGTGCTGCCGATGTGGTACCTACTGAGTGCGGTTTTGGTCGCTCTCCCTTCTTTCCTTGGTTGGGTATTTGCGTCTCACTATGGTGCCCAAAGGAAAAGTGGGCACGAGAGGGAAGAAGCAGATCTTTGAGGAGAACAAAGGGACCCTGAAGTTCTAACCTTCGAATCATACTGGGGGCTAATGCCATTTACTGTCTTGTGACCTTGGTCTTTTTCTACTCATCTGCCTCATTTTGGGCCTGGATGGCTCTGGTCTTTAGTCTGGCAGTATACGGGGCCAGCTACCACTCTACGAGCACGATGGCAAGGGCAGCCTTCTCTGAGGATGGGGCCCTGGTGGATGGTGGAATGGATCTCAACATGGAGCAGGGCATGGCAGAGCACCTTAAAGATGTGATCCTGCTGACAGCTATCGTGCAGGTTCTCAGCTGCTTCTCTCTCTACATCTGGTCCTTCTGGCTCCTGGCTCCAGGCAGAGCTCTTTACCTCCTGTAGGTCAATGTCCTGGGCCCCTGGCTCACAGCGGACAGTGGCGCCCCAGTGCCAGAGCACAATGAGAAACAGGAGCAGTGGCAGATGAAGCGGTTATAGCCACTGACATTGTGGCCCCAGGTTTCTGAGTCCTGGGTGGTTCTATCAGGCTGTGTGGGCCCCACGCCAGGAGCAGTGAGGGCCTAGTCCAGGGGCCAAAAGCGGTCTAGGGTATAGGATTGTTGAATAAATGGCTTATAATGTGGAAAAAAAGAAGAAAGGACATTGAAAACAAACTTATAGCTACCAAAGGCAAAAGATGGTGGGGGGAGGAATGAATTAGGAGTTTCGGATTACCATACACACACTACCATATATAAAACAGATAATCAACAAGGACCTACAAGTTCCCTGTGCTATTGTATGGCGCAGGGAACTCTACTCAATATTCTGTAACAACCTACATAAGAAAGAATCTGAAAAAGAATATATATATATATGTATAATTGAATCATTTTGTTGCGCAGTTGAAACTAACAAAACATTGTAAAACATATGTAAAACATACTCCAATATAAAATAAAAAATAAATTAAAAAATATTCTGCCTTGGCTGCCAATGTCATACCTTGTAGCCCTCTTCATAGATTTACAAAGGAAACAATGATGCATAAGTGAATATAATAAAATATATGTTGCTTAATTTTTGACCATCAGCTATTCTTTCAATACACATTATATAAATATATATGTGGGTATATACACATATACATATAAATTCTTACATAGATACATACCTATATATATATGTATGTGTACACATCTGAAATTAAACAGTAAACAGTCAATAGGTGAGCCTGCAAATTACCTTTTCCTGTTCATGACACTATCACATGACTTGATCATAATCATTTAGCCCTACCAGTTACCTAACCCCAATATTGGGGTTTCTCTGCATCTTCAACCCTCTTTCAATTTCTTAAGTGAAATTAATGCACTGATTTCAGATTGCAGGAGGTATGCATCAACCAGATGGCTGTGCAGTTTTAAGAGAATAGAAAATTATTTGACACATAGCTCAATTAAGCAGTTCATCCAAGACAAACCAAAGAAGGTATTTTTAAATGCATATTTTGGAAGATGATAATGGCATTTGGCATGCTAACTAAGATACTTCATCAGAATGACATTATAAAGAAAAGCTCGGGATAAAAACATCAAACTGATGAAACTAAAGTAAAAAAGTAAGTCTACTGGACCATTGCCAGTAAATGATATTAAGTATAGTGAGCACATGGTTATTTTTGCATCTAGGAATTCTTTCTGAAGGGTCCAGGAACGAGTTATTTCACCAGAGAGAACTTTCTACCAGCCCATTAGGACTTTGGGAATTAAATGTTATCAAACCTAAATAAATACATAAGTTTTAGAGCCACCTTCTCATTAGTCTCCGAATTTTCTACTCATTCCATCTACCTGACCCAAACTCTAGGTTACATGTGGTTCAAATAACGACTGAAAGTACATCCCCCTTGCCCAAATGGTACAATTAGGTAGATAATTGGAGTCTCCACATTCTATCTTGAATTCAGAGTTCCTCAGCCTCAGGAGTATTGGTCAGTAGTCTTTGCTATGGGGTGTGGCTGGTGGCGGTGCTGTGCATTCTATAAGGTTGAGCAGCTTCTAGGGCCTCTATCCATCAGGTACAAAGAGCACACCTTCCTCAGCTGTGACAACCAAAAATGTCTCCAGACATTGTGTTCGGCCACTGAGGAGGAGGGGTAAAACCACCACGGCTCTGACGGCTTCACTTAGATGGACTTGCAGACAAAAACTCGGTCCTTTTAACAACAAACTAAAAATAATGTGAAGGGCCTAGAAATAGTATGTATCAATGATGTGAGTGGATCCCAAAGATGTCATGAGTTTTTCATTCCAGCTTCAAAAAATTTTCCCAATCTTTCCAGTCAATTAACATATAGAAGAAAGCTAGAGCTAGAAGGTTTAAAAGAGCTTTGAAGAAGACTATTTTTATCTCATTAATGAAGGAACTTAGGTCCTCTGAAGAGGTAAGCATTTCTCCATGATCTCCCAACAAGCCAAGCTGTCTAGTTTCTAGTCCAGTTACCTTGGGTAGCCCACTTGGCTTCTCTCAAACTCTTATTCATATAATTCAGAAGGTTACATTTATTGACCAGCTGTAAATCACCTGGTTATGTAACATAAAGCTACATTCCCACTCTCCCACACTGGTAAGCAATAGCAGGGGACAAAAAAAAAAAGATGGAAGTGGCAATATAACCAAAAAGAACAGTCAAATTTCACCCTCTGGAATGTTATGGCCAAGTTGCCACTGGAGGGAAAGAACTGCAGATATATCTTACAGAAAAGGGAGGAATCATTAAGACTACTCTCAGTGAGATGGTAAAACTCAAAGTGACATTGACTTCAAAACTCCCTCAGTGTTATAGTTACAGCCCCCAAATCAGAAACATAACTTCCTGCAGAAGGCTGTGTACCCTAAGGAACTAATGATGTGTTAGCCTTGTCAGTGAAATGGAAAACTTCTGTATGACAGTCACAAAAAAGGCAATTATAGGCACTGCAAGAGACTGTAAAATACAACAGGAAGATGATACTTGCAAAATCATTCCCAACTACCAGCTCACTTGACCTCCAAAATCATCTTAAGATGCTAAGGCCCTCGTTTTTATAGGTGAAAGAACGAGGGCTGGACCCCTAACCATTCATGAGTGCAGAGTAGAGCCTGGAACCCAGATTCCCTGTGGAGAAGTCCGCTGCCTCTGCTGTGCACCTCAGCTGCCCCTAGAGGCAGAGGAGAAGGCTCCTGCTTTGGGTATTGGTATTCTCTGTACTTCTGAACTGTTCCTGTTCACAACTATGCCAGAGCCTGCGACCATTCATGGGTGTTCCCGTTCTCCCCTGCTTCCTGGGCAAAAAGGAAGGCGAGGTTTTCCAGCGTGCCTTATATTGGCCTGTGTGAGGTTGAAGCATTGTGAGAAGTGAATGTGCTATCTCCAAGCCTGACCAATTGAAAATCTCCAACTTGAGGTCCTCGCTCATTTTTCCAGTCTCTACAGATCTAGAGAAAGGCTGACCTGCCAGATGGAAGGAGTTTGGATTCCAGAATGACCCTGTGGAGGTGGGCCATCCTGATCCAAACTGCATGGACCAGGGATATGAGTAAGAAATAAGCTTTTATTGTATCAGACCACTGAGATTTGGGGTATAATTAACTACTACTGCTGAAATTAAAAGATGCTTACTCCTTGGAAGGAAAGTTATGACCAACCTAGACAGCATGTTAAAAAGCAAAGAAATTACTTTGCCAACAAAGGTCCGTCTAGTCAAGGCTATGGTTTTTCCAGTGGTCATGTATGGATGTGAGAGTTGGACCATAAAGAAAGCTGAGCACAGAAGAATTGATGCTTTTGAACTGTGGTGTTGGAGGAGACTCTTGAGAGTCCCTTGGACTTTGAGGAGATCCAACCAGTCCATCCTAAAGGAAATCAGTCCTGAATATTCACTGGAAGGACTGATGTTGAAGCTGAAACTCCAATACTTTGGCCACCTGATGCAAAGAGCGGACTCATTTGAAAAGACCCCAATGCTGGGAAGGATTGCAGGCAGGAGGAGAAGGAGACGGCAGAGGATGAGATGGTTGGATGGCATCACCGACTCAATGGACATGGGTTTGGGTGGACTCCGGGGGTTGGTGATGGACAGGAAGGCCTGGCATGCTGCGGTTCATGGGGTCACAAAGAGTCGGACGTGACTGGACTGAACTGAACTGAACTGCTGCTTCTGACAAAAACAACTAGGATAGCAACACATTTCAGGGGTAACGTCCCACAGATTGTCAGGCAATTTCTGGGGGCTAAACATATAGAAAAGAGTTACAGATGTTCCCCACAGAGTCCCAAGGCCAGTTTCCACTTGTGGAGTATATATTGTCATAAAGCCCTTTCCACCTCTGTTCAAGGATTTCACTCCGCAAAGACTTTCCTGCTAACCTCCTCTTCAGCAGGACTTCTAGTGAGAGCTAGCTTTGACAGGGGAATGCCAGCTTCTTCTCCCATGACTCTGGGAGACCCTGATAATATCCAAGCAAACCCCTCCTCTCAAACGTTTTCTGTACAGAATCCATGTAAACCAACACAAAAAATAACAGCTTATCATCACTCTGCCAAGAGCCAGCAACCCAAAAGTGAACCAGTAATTTGTTACTGAATTTATCAGGACTTACACTAATAAACATACTTCAAGATTTCACTTCCAAGCATCCCATCTGTCTTAGGAAAAAAGGAGCTATTTAGAGCACTACACATTTTTTTGTATTATAAAGGGAGGAAAATGGGCTGTCATAATAACCAAGCTTGGTAAAATTACCAGTACTTGGGATTCTAGAAGAAATTGGGGGAAATTACAAGGTGCTTTTGAAGTCACGCTTAAACTATTTTTTTCCCGTCTAAATGGACAGATCTATAGTGTGCACAAAGAGGGCAAGTGGTTGATTATATAGACATTTAATTTAGTCTCCCAAATCTGGTCTAGGCCATTCTGAACATACAATCATAGGAGATCTATCTCCCACATTATTTCCTGAAGAAAGGACAAAATCATGAAAAGATGCATAGACCATACATATCTTATTTCAAAGTTTTAAATACACTCACAGTAGACTTCTAAGGAATGAGAATCCATATAAGCACAGAAAACTCTGATTATACTTATGGGGCTTCTTCTTCCTTCTTAGAAGTTGATTGATTTACCATAAAAACTTTACTGTTGAACTAATGAGCAAATCACAGTATCAGAATCTGTTCTATACCAGAGGTTCTTAAATTTGACTGCACATTAAAATCATCTCAAAAGGTTTACAAAATCCTGATGCCCAGGTCACACTCTGGACCAATAACATCACAATCTTTGGGAGTGGGAACCAGGTACTTTTAAAGCTTCCCAGGTGATCACAAAGTACAGACAAGGTTGAGAACTTTGTCCTTGATAACTTCTATGTGCGAAAACCAAAACATAGGTGACCCTTGTTTTTCTTTTAATCCCAAACCAACAAAGGAACTTCTTCTATGGCAGTATGTCAGCATGGTAATGTACAGCAGCATGAGAGTGAAAGTGTTAGTCATTCAGTCTTGTCTGACTCTTTGAGACCCCATAGACTGTAGCCCACCAGGCTATTCTTTCCATGGAGTTCTCCAGGCAAGAATACTGGAGTGAGTGGCCATTCCCTTCTCCAGGGGATTTTCTCGACCCAGGGATCGAACCCAGGTCTCCTGCACTGAAGGCAGATTCTTTACTATCTGAGACACCAGGGAAGCCAACAGAGGCCTTCATTTTCCTCTACTGAAAACTGGCTTACTTTGAATCTCAGAGCTTTGCACTGGGCCTTCTTATGAAATGAGGGGAGTAGAACAGCTTCTTTTACCAGTAGATTTCACAAGGGATACTAGGCTTAATACTTTCCTTTGTCGACAAAGGTCTGTCTAATCAAAGTTATGGTTTTTCCAGTAGTCATATGTGGATGTGAGAGTTGGACCATAAAGAAAGCTGAGTGCTGAAGAACTGATGCTTTTGAACTGTGGTGTTGGAGAAGACTCTTGAGAGTCCTTTGGACTGCAAGTAGATACAACCAGTCCATCCTAAAGGATATCAGTCCTGAATATTCATTGGAAGGACTGATGCTGAAGCTGAAACTCCAATACTTTGGCCACCTGATGCGAAGAACTGAGTCACTGGAAAAGTCCCTGATGCTGGGAAAGATTGAAGGCAGGAGGAGAAGGGGACAACAGAGGATGAGATGGTTGGATGGCATCATCGACTCGATGGACATGAGTTTGAACAAGCTCCGGGAGATGGTGACGGACAGGGAAGCCTGGCGTGCTGCAGTCCATGGGGTCACAAAGAGTCAGATGCTACTGAGTGACTGAACTGAACTGAACTAGGCTTAATGGACTTGCCAGGTGATGCTAGTGGTAAAGAACCCACCTACCAATGCAGGATATGTAAGAGACATGGGTTGGACCTTGGGTTGGGAAGATCCCCTGGAGGAGGGCATGGCAACCCACTCCAGTATTTTTGCCTAGAGAATCCCCATGGAAAGAGGAGCCTGGCGGGCTACAGTCCATAGGGTCACAGAGAGTCAGACATGACTGAAACGACTTAACACACACCAGGTTAATATACCCAAACTTCACGTTTCTCTATCTGAACTTCCCCCATTCAGAATAATTTAAAATAATTGTGTCTCCTGAAAATTAGTAAAAGAATGCTTTTAAACCAAGCAAACAGTAGCTTTAGACATTCTTCAAGAACATCCTATGGCATCATCAAATGTTCCTTGATTTTTAAAATTTGTTATGTTAAACAAACTCATTAAAGTTTTGTGGGAAAACAAACAAACAGTTGTCTACACTTACATGTCACTTAATTCTACTCAACACCTGTTGGGGAGAGATGAGTTTATTAATTATCACATTGTATTTTGGGGACATATTAATATAGGGCAGAACTGTAATAAAGTGTTTGTGGAAAGCAGCTGCAGTGTGAAAACAAGCCCCCCTCATCAAGAACTGAGGGTGTGGAGGGTGTCTGGAGCCCCCATGACAACACCCAACCCTCTTCTCTCCTCTGAACCTCGGGTTTCTAAATCCAACTGCTTATGCAACAGTTACAGGTACCTCACACTTTCCTGATCTTCTCATTAAAAAGCTGTTCTCCTCTGTCTCAGCAAATGGCCATTTTCTCCTTTCAGTTACTCAGCACAAATCCTTAGAAGTTCCCCAAACTCTTCTTTCTTCACTCCACGTCATCTGAGCCTAGGCCACTGTGGGAGCTCCCCAAGTTGATTCCCTGATGCCAGCCTTGCTCCTTTCTCTAGTCAGCATGGGCCTGCATCAAGGCATGTCACTCTGATTTTAACCCTCCAGTGTCTCTGCATTTCATTCTAAGTCAAAACTAGTCTTTTAAAGCCCTACGCAGGTGATGGCCCACCTCACCTTGACTTCATTGTCTGTCACCTCCTCCCACACACACTCCACTCTAGGCACACCTGTCTGTTTGCTAATTGTTTTGCATGCGAGGCACGCTATTGCCACTCTTAAGGTCACCAACTATTCTTTTTTTTACCAAGGACTGAGGGATTTCTGAAGATGTAGGACCTTCAGTGCATGTGGGACAAACCAAGATGAGTTGGTCACCCTACCTTTCCCAGTCCAAGATGTCTTCCTTGGTGAAACCTTCACATTGGGTCTTAGCTCACTGTGTGTGTGTTCATTAGCTAAGTTGTGTCTGACTCTTTGCAATCCCATGGACTGTAGCCCACCAGGTTCCTCTATGGGATTTCCCAGGCAAGATTACTGGAGTGGGTTGCCATTTCCTACTCCAGGGGATCTTCCCAATCCGGGGATGGAACCCACATCTCCTGCGTCTCCTGCATTGGCATGTGAATTCTTAACCACTGAGCCACCTGGGAAGCCACTACCTATAGTTAAAACTGACTCTTTTCCCCTCCCACCTATCCTTATCCCATCTCAAATTCCTCTTTCTCAGAGCCTTTATCATCATTTAACATGCTCTATAGTCATTTACATGGTTTCATTTCCTACTCCCTCCACTAACAGGTAAGTCCACGAGGGCTATTTTATTCACCACTGTATTCCCCAGAATCTAGAAGAGTGACTAACACACAGGAGATGATCAGTAAATATTTGCTGGATGAAATAATTATTTATACTGTATAATAAACGTTCTATATATATATATGATTCAAGGTGACAAAATTGTTTCAAGATGAAAATAGCAGATCAATATTATTTCTTGGTGAACTTAAGAACTATAATCAATGAGCAATTAGAAAAATCCATGGCACAAATAAAATTTAGTGACTGTGGGAGAAAATAAGCTTGCAATCTGAGCCAAAGTCTACCTAGGGAAGACGGACTGAAAGTGGGCAGTTAGTGTGACATAAAATGCCTTTTGGTATTGTTCTTGCATTCATATGCATTAAAATCCATTATACTTGTGAAAGCACATTGAGATTTTTTTTCCCAAGCATTATATAAATTAATTATTATAATGCATCCACCACCAACATCCTAATGACATAAACAACTCATCCAAGAGGGAGTGAAGATACTTATTACCTTTTATTGTCATTAAAGACTGGTAGCATAGCAGGTGCAATGCACATCAGAAACCACAATCACCTCATTTCACCCACAACCAGCTTCATAAACAAATTTGTATTATTGCAAGGATGTGCTGGGGGAGTTTTCGTTTTCCTTCCAAATAAATATCTCATTTTAAGAGGCAAATGTTTGCTTCATGAAGATAAATGGTAAAATTCCCAACAGTTTTCTTTCCCTCCCCACTCTTATGAATACTGGCTTTGATTTCATTTTCTGGATATATTTTGCCATCCAGAGTTTGAGGCTTATGAAATTCAGGGAATATGCTGCTCATCAACCAGTACACCAAATTCCAGTGTGAAAAATCAACCCCTTGCTTCCACATCGGCATATGAGTCATTGCTAACCAAGCCTCATGTTCAGGTGGAAAGGGGGAGGGACACTTGGGGTAGACCATAACCTGATTCACTATTTATATATAAAAAAAGAAAGATTGCCAACACACCCCCAATTCTACCTGAAGTGAAGGCTCAATCAAACTCTGCCCCTACCCATCCCAGCCCTGTCCAAGGCCATCCAAAGGGACAAGCCCTGCTGTGAAGTGGAGAGGGAGTCTTGCGTTGCATTAACCATTAAATCAGCAAATGCTCTGAAGATGACCCTTGTTCCAAATCCCCTCAAAACCTTCCATGGATGGACAATTACATGCAGTTTGCGGGTACAAGTGGCCAAACCCTTCAGCAGTTCAAATTTTAAAGGAAATTTATAACCTGAATTTCCAGGTTGATAAATTAGTCTCATGATCTGAAATCCACTCAAGAGAGAGAAACTCACTCTTGGGGAAATAACAAAGTAAGATTCCTAGACCTTCAAAGCTGAGACTCAGACTTGGAACTGTAGCA